GCAAAACAAACATGGCCCTGTTTAGTAGAATGAAAGCTAAGAAGCAAACGCATATAAATCGTGTAGGCATGATGAAATCAGCCTCTCCTCTCATAACACTCAGTGGCCTAGACCCCGCGTCACTGGCATGGTGTGGAATGTAACCAGAACAGGGGAGACCAAAACTGCATAATTCTGGCATGCTGCTATCAATTTTTATGGAATTTTTAATTTTTGCCGATAGCTTCGCGATGGAAAACCACAGACAGGGGATTTAATTTTCATTTTTAAAACGTGATCTTTTACATATATGTAGAAAATTCTCTTGTCTTTCAGATTCTTTTTAGTTCATATTTCTATGTTGCATAGAACGGAAAATATGTATTTTTTTCTCAAGGTTTGCAAAGATCCTCAATAAAGGCGATTTAAATCCCGGCCATACAGGGGCTACCGGCAATTTAAAAGCCCGTCCGATAAAGGTTAAAGTCATTTATTCCTCTATATAGGTCTCTAATGTTCTTGTTCTTACTGTTCATTGCAAGCTCATCAATTTTGTCTTTCAGATATTCCCTTTCTTTGTTCCTGAAATACCTGCTGGTTTCACGTCTTATATTGTTCAGATTATCCCCATTTAACTCGCTTGGATCCTGTAACCATTCCAATTTGGCCTTTTTTTTTTTCTGTTAATTTTGAGCATCCTTCATCGAACCATGGCTTATGCTTCTTCGGTTCATAATAACCTAGACTCTCTTTGGCAGAAATTTTTATATCCTCTCTAATAGTTTCCCACGCTTTATTAACATCCACCTCAGTTTCCAAGTTTTCCAATGCCGTGAACCTATTTGAGATTTCAACACAATGCTGCTATTCACAATCTCCAGGTCTGAATCCAGTAAACTTTTTTGGGGGGGTCTAATCAGTGAACAAATGTAACAGAAAAAGGATAACAGGCTATAACACCTTTGTGAATATATTACCAAAGCAACTTTATAACCTCAGAATATGTTCCAAGTGCCTGTTTTACACACAGGGTATTGTAGGCATGGTGTTTCTGCCTTGACTTCATCCATCAGATTTATTGAGATGTGTAACTGCAACAAACCTGCGAGCATCTTTCCTCCAGAATGGGGCGTAAAGTCCGGAAAATGCAGGCACAAAGTACACTTCACTACTGTCGGTATCAGATTGTGCAATTTTATCAGAATCGGATATATCTTCCAATATCTGTAAGTTGTCTCGTAACCATTTCATTGCTGCTCCACAAATTGCCACTGATCCTTCTAACGCATATACAGCAGTTGCCGATTTTCCCAGTTTGTATGCCACTGTGGTTAGAAGACCGTGGTTTGATTGAACCACCTGTAATTATATGACACTCACAGAAAAGTGTATGTGTGCATCAATGCTGAGTTTCACTTGATCACTAACACTGCTGATTGCTCAAGACGATTTTAGTGTACTTATTTTGGACTTACAGACTGGCCAGTGTTATACAACAAGAAGCATCCTGTGCCATAGGTATTCTTTGCCTGGCCCTGCCTCAGGCACATTTGTCCCACAAGAGCTGACTGCTGGTCACCTAAACACTGAAATCAAATTATGTCAGATCAGAACTTCAGATACCCTCTCGTTTCACACCTATCTCATAAATCAAAGTAAATATTCCAAATGTCGATATACAGTGAACTCTTGGATCTCTGCAATAAAGGAGGGGAGAACAGCACAGGTAAAAGAAAAAGGCAAAGTTGTCCCTGTGCTTGACTAATTAAGTGCTACACCATGAAGGTGTGTGGGGGAGTGAATGTATAGATCCACATATTCTTGACCTTGGCAATAGCTGGAGGTGAGTGGTCAGTTTCACAACCCTGCCACTTTACCCCAGCGGAAAGAGCGCCCAGTATCCATTGGATAGGAGGCTGGGCGGGCCCCAGAAACAGTCCTGATGACATGGGGAAGAGATGAATGAATGAGTGTATAAGGGGTGGACCCTCTTGGACCTTGCACCATGACCACCGGGATCTATTGTGCTTTGGGGTAGAGATTCCTGGTTGTCCAGCCCACACCCAGTTGCTGTACTGACTGCACTATCCCAAAAACAGAAGATCATCCAAATAACCTAACAAATTCTGTGTGAAGTTATACCCTGTAATTAACTATGGATTGTAGAGTCTACTGGTCATGCTATGGCCAATCAGTAAGAGAACAATATGTTTCCAGCATAAGCAAGCAGTGGCAGAGGCTGGCATGAAAAGCAGTCAAGTCAGTAGAAAAGGAAGTTGCAACAGGGCAAAATGTATAATCTACTGCAAATCATTATTACCACTAAATTTTACTGAAACAGATGTAATGGACTACGTTTAAATCATTGCAGAAAGCTATAATCAATATATAACGGGTTCTATAAAGTTTTGCTGTGAAAATCAGCTAATCCACATGCAGCTATTCAAGAGTCTACTGTTAAGTTACAATAAAGTTCTACTATATTTACTTGCCCAGCTATTACTCTAACTTCATGGCGAGAAGGAAAGTGCACTTTTTCTGATATACTACATTAATTACCCCAGATATTGGTACTCCTTGCAATGCACCATCCATCAAATAGCCATAAATTTCTGATGAGCTTCGAATCTCCGGTAACAAATCCATTGGAACACCAAAGAACCTAAAACAAAACGTATTTCATATTTCAGATTCTTGCAGCAGTGACAATTCATATTCTGGTCTTCTGGATTATGACTCCATGAAGACTGGTATGTGAATACCGATGGTTCAGAGAAACTACGAGCTGTCATGACACAGAAGACCCAAGTATGACAGATTCTGCTGCATGTTACTAAAGAAAGTTAGATGTCACAGTAAAAGGTAAAGGTAAGGTAAAGTTGTCCTTCTGCTTAACTAATTAAGCACTATGCCATGAAGGAGTATGGGGGAGTGGATGTATAGATCCACATTTTCTTGACTTTGGCAACAGCTGGAGGTGAGTGGTCAGTTTCATGCCCCTGCCACTTTACCCCCAATGGAAGAGCCCTCAGTGTCCATTGGATAGGTGGTTGGGGGGACCCCAGAGCCGGTCTGGACGACATGGAGCAGAGAAAATTCTTGACCCTACCGGGACTCGAACTCCGACCCCTCAGTCGTCCAGCCTGTACCCAGTTGCTATACCGACTACGCTGTCCCAGCTCCTAGATGTTACAATAATAATCAGTAAATGCTTCACCAGTGTTTTCATAGTACACTCTGATACAGTAACTACCAAGAGAGCACTTGGTGGGCTTTAGCACCAGCTTGGGTAAGCTTTTTGTGGGCCACATTCCTTCATGATGGTACAATTATAAATCTTCAATTCTATGTCTCCCAGCTGTACAAACAGCAAGTTAGTGGTCAATAATTAATATGTGATAGGAAACATTTAAAGGGAGTCAGGATAGCATAGGTGGTATGGCAATGGGCTATGGGCTGGACAACCAAGGGGTTGGAGTTCAAGACCCAGTAGGGTCAAGAATTTTCTCTTCTCCATGTCATCCAGACCAGCTATGGGGCCCACCCAGCATCCTATCCAATGGATACCGGATGCTCTTTCCCTAGGGGTAAAGTCAACATGAAGCCGACCACTGCAGGGGAAAATCCCCTGGTACCCACTGGATAGAAGACTGGGTGGGCCCCAGAACTAGTCTGGGTAATGTGAAGAGGAGAAAAACAATAACTATAAAAATAGTAAATTTTCACTGAACCTTTCTGCTGGTTGGAAGAGAATTCCAGATGCCTGGATACTGGATTAACAGGAGTTTACTGCAAGCATGAAGAGGAACACACACACACACGAAGACAACTGTGAGCTGTAGTGGACTATACAAGACACATCCTAACCACAGTTTAGAATGGTGCTATTTTCTGGAATGTTATGCGGTGTAGTTTGTATGGATTCACTGATGTTCTGAAGGAATATAGCACTGTCACCTTCAGAGTCAAAGCAAGGAATGAAGATGCAAAGCTTCTGACAAATCTGCCAGTGCCCCAGCATGTGTACCACCATGCACCAGCTAAAGAGAAAAAGCCCTGCTTCCTGTGACATCAACAACTTGCGGCAGGGAGACAACAACTACCAGATTTACAACTGTTTGTTTCAAAACACAACATACCTGCATAAAACTGGATCCCACTGTAGAGATTTTATGTTCATTAGCATGGTCCTAGATGCATTTGTGACGTCAGTAATATATAAACCACCATTTTTGCCACCAGTCAAGTTCTACAGGAAGAAAATGAATGATGTAAGCACAGCAAAACCTCATCAATTTGAAATTTGGACCTTTTTTATGTGCATTACAACCCCGACGATCACATTCCTGTGATCAGAGATTGCAAATTGCCACGTGTAGTGCTAGCAAATACAGGAAAAGAACAGTGCAAAAGAGGAACAAAAGTGATCACAATACTACTAAGTAATTTATTTTATGATATGAAATCTATGTTTCAAAATAAAGCAGTATTGCTTAAAAAGATATGTGAAGTCCATTTTATAACTTCGATGAACATATTCTCAGTACAACTTCCATAACTCAGACTTTCACTAATTTTGACAAGGGTTCACTCTCAACTAGTCTGAATTAGTGGGATCTCACTGTATTGAGGTCTTCACAGCAGCGATCACACATGTGAAACCACATAGTCTTGTACCCAGATACTGACACAAGGTGGCAGCTTCTCCTGGAATGTCAGTATGTGCCTCCCTGACTACATAAGAACTGCTCTGGACTGCTCTCTAACCTTTGTGAAAATCCATCAACTTCATGAAAAGTTAAACAGTTCCGTCTAGTGTGACTGGTGAAGATTTTTCTTATTTCAATTATTTATGCCCTTACATGTTTCAGTCTTCAGAGACCATCATCAGAGGGACACCTTTACATCAATACAGTTGGAAATTACTATTACAATATATGTTCTGAATGTTAAAATGTATACATATAATATTAATAATATATAATTGGGTATAAAATCTAAAGTTTTTACAACTACAGTGGCTGTTCCAATACATTAAAATATTTGTAATTGGTTTGTTAAGATTTTATTGGAATTTATAAACCAAGTAGGTTCATGTCATCTTTCTTATTATGTCTCTGGACGGGAGCGGAGCTTGTGCCGCCTTGTCGTTCTCGAGAAGAGGGTTCTGCAAATATATTATGGGTATATTTTATTATTTGAGCAACCCTATTATGCTTTGCAAAAACTTTTGTTATTTCGTCCTACCTTTGCGTTGTCATGGCCATGAATCTGAATGATATACAGATTTCTCTTTGTAATATTTGCCACTCATCTCTCTCTACACCTGAATGTGAGAACCTGTAATGGTTCACATCATATGTCGATGAAACATTTTATTTATATATGTAAAAATTTTACAATTTATGTGTTACATTTGACAAATTATAAATTCTTTCCATACCCTTTCAAACCCTCCAGCACAGAAGAATGGGGTATATATGGCACTGGCTACAGAATATTTGCATATGTGTAGAGTATACTGTATTTTTTCTGTA